TGCTGCCGTTTGAGGTGAGATGAATTGAGGAGCTTGATCATGCCATTAGTATCCCTCCTCTGCATCACTTCTGCAGCATGCACCCTCAACGTGACTCACTCTGTGTCACGGTAATTAGCAGATGCACCGCACTGGCCCGGCTTTTTGATTTCGATTAGTTGCACCATGTGACAGAATTTTATAACACCAGAGTCACGTTGAAGCAATGTTCAGTCTCAGGTGATGTTTGCTTCTCTTTGTAACTCAGCGACGTTGGTTGGAATCCGATGCTCGTTATGTGCCTGATCTGAGAGCTGCTGTAACTGGATCCACCAGAAAGACAAACTGAACTGTATTTCATTCGAAAAACAGTCTGAAATGAATGCAGTTCCAATTGTAACCACAGTGTCTATGTAACATATTGAACCCTAAGGCACAGACAGAAACAAGAAGGCTTCTAAGTTACACTTCACAGCTGTGTAGTTGTAACATCTCATATTTTCCATTATATTGTGCAAAACTAGTGTCTAAATGTCAGAGTTTATGCCCACATTAAAACTGGAAAAGAAAAACATAATTTTGTTTAGGTATAGGAATTGCTTCAGGCCATTAATATGTGAGAGCTATTCTAAAACAGCAAAGAATAAAAACGATTGCCTGGGGTCTCTGTGAAAAAAAGATTTTTTCTTTTTATATAAACAATATTAAATGATTAAACTGTATTTCCCCCTGTCTCTGTGGTCTAATAAGTGCAGTACATTATTTATTTACACAGCCAGATAACATCTCATCAAGTCTATAAAAAGTTCATTTTAATGCTTGCAAGGATGCAGTCATATCCCATAATGCTTTTACTGAGCAAACCACTGTCTGGAACACTGAAGGATTGACAGCACACCTAATATCTATCTATCCAAAAATATCAGTAACACTAGTCAACTGTCGTCCCACTGTTTGTGTGATTGGTTGGTGTGAAAAGTCTCCCACAAACCAACAGGTACAAACCAACCTGTGACAGCAAACAGGGTGGAGTTGAAGACAGACACAGTTCTGGTTCTGGCTCCAGTTCTGCTCTGTAGTCTGAGAACCAGCCCACATACATACCAGTTTAAGTGGAACCATCGTGGGCAACAAACAAACGCAAGAGGAAAATGGTAGATCCCATGGAGCATCTGCACCTTGTTGCTACAGACAGTCAGATCTGTTTTCATCCAACAGTCCATCGTGCACCAGCTGTTGATGGCGAGAAGACGTAATACTGATATAGTATTTGATTGCGTACTATTTAAAGAACTTAAAGCACCTTCAGAAGGGTAACCATTGTGTGTTAATTTGTGAATGACTGACTCACATACAGAACATGGTCATGTGATCAGTCAATCTAAACCCAACATCTCGAGCCACACTCTCATTCTGCTGTCTCCAAACCAGACGTTACAGCAGGCTTCAGTTCTGTCCGTGATGCATTGATTCCCTGACTCCGTCCTCCACACTGTCGTTCCCTTCACACTGGATCATTAACTACTGTTATTTAAACGTATTCACAATTTCATCACCACTCAAAAAAAAAAGTGAACAACTCATCGTCGTCTACTGCTGAATCCTGGTGGTAAAAGACAAACCCAGCGTTCGTCAGGTGAGGACAGGCTACTGTAGACCCTGGACAGCTCACCACACCATTTGATACACGGTAATTCCTACAAAACTGCTATAGAAAGTCTGTTCCATTTAGACAAAGAACGATAATAACAAGATTTATACACCCTTCTTTGTCCCTACTTCAAAAGCTCTGTGGCCCCTTGGACGGCCCCGCCCTCAACTTTGAGAATACTTGGGACAAACAAACATTGGACAATCGTCTCCAGCTGTTCCCTGTTTTTACTGTATTAACCCAGTTCAAATACTTAAATATAAAAGTAGGTCAGTAATTGTCACATTATTACATACAGGTACATGATTGGACTGACTCTTTTTCTTTGTAAGGCGGGGGGTGAGAGTTGGTGGTTTTAAATAAAAATACATCTCCAAAGTCCTTATCCTTCAAGCGTCCTTCATTGACAATGTGCTTATAGTTCTTTTCCCGGCAATAAACAGTTTCTAACGTTTCCATTTTGAAGACTTGTTCATTTAATGAAAAAGATAAACAAATACCAGACGCACACACGCACGGACGCACAGAGGGAAGAGGGGAATAAACAAACACTTGAGGTGTCTCATTTATAAAATGTGAATGTTTATTAAATGTCGACGAAAACATTAAAACACATTATCAAGGTTCAGCGAAAAGACGCACATCACCAAAAAAAAAAAAAAAAAAAAAAAATGAAAACAAAAAAGGAAACAGAGTTAGTTTCGCGCCAGGGGTTGGGGAAACGACGGGGGCAGGGAGCTGGAGAGAAGTGGGGCAAACAGCAGAGCGATAGAGAGGCAGGGAGTCTGAAGCTGCAGAAAGAGGAGAGGATAATTCAGGAGGTGTGGAGTGAGTGGGAACTGGCAGCAGAAGCTAAGGCAATTAAGGAGGTACAGAGTAAGAAAGATAGAAGGTTTGGGGACCTGGAGGATCGATCAGGAGGCTGCTGATACTCTGTAATGAGAGGGATAACTCGGAATGATTACAGCCTCAAATTCCACTCTTTTATCATCTCTTCTGTTGAGGCCGAGAGCTGCTGCCGTTCCTCCGAACGCACGCACACAGAGCGGGGTATCGTAAATAATGACACTCTTGAACATTTACAGTAACTAATGAGGGGAAATGACGCGTCAACATATACAATAAGCACAACGCCGTGTGGCCATGAATAAGGATCTGAGGAGAGGCTGACGTTTGAGCGCGGTTCAACACGGTAACAGAAGTCGGTTTCCACTCTAAGGGGTTCACAATCACGATAAGTAATAGCTCGTTATAATTTCTCTCTCTTTTTTTTTTTTATCAACACAAATAGCAGGGGAGGCAAGTTGTACATAAGCATCACATTATACTTCAAAGATCCACAGAGAGACACGCTCCGGCTCCGGCTCTTCTTCTCTGCCTCATGCACCAGGACATGAACGAACCCAAACAGGTGCATGTACTCTGGGTACACACAGACCCTGCAGGTGCACACACACACACACACACACATACATTTGCATACATTCTGACGCCCAGTCCATTTTCCTCTCCCTCAGTGCTCTCATACATCTTTTTTTTTCTCACGTTTTGTGCCATTAAAACATCAACACGTGTTTGTTTGTCACATGTCTCTGCGTTGACAGTAACGACCGGTGGCAGCAGTCCTGATAAACATGACACAGCTAAATGTACACGTCTGTGTTTGTGCTGAACTCCTCACACACACACACACACACACACACACACAGTGTTGGGGAACTGCTCCGAGCACCGATGATGGCAGAACTCTCACAGCAGTTTCTGGGGTCGGGAGTTTGTTGACTGTCACTGTACATTCAGCACTGACTCCCACTTACAAAGGACTTTTCAAAGACCTTGACTGTCACAAAGGTGGCGCTAGAGTAGGTCTAGCCAAAAAAATCCCCAAAAATCCTCCATTTAATGCTTTAAAAAAAAAAAAAAGACAACATATTTGTGCTGTTGATTTGAATGAGCATGTGCTTGAGGCCTGGTCAAGTTTCCGTCCTTCACTCCTTCATTTGTCTTTCAGAGCAGGTCAGTCCACTCCCACCTGTCACTCAGCTCGAAGAGAGCCTACAGTTCCGTGAATAAACCTTCTTTCACGTCTCTTTTTTTTTCGTCTTCTTTTTTCAAACCTGTGGATTGTTAAGTCCATGTGCTTCATTTCTCTTTGTGTTTAACATAGTAAGAAAACAGATTCACATGCTCTAAAAGTCATACACGCTGTACATTAAAATCTACAGATATTTTTTTTTAAAGCTCTCAGTATATCGAAACGAAAAACCGACGGAACTGAAAAACTGTTGTCCCACCGATCGAGAAACAGAGACACAGAGACTGAGGATGGTGGACTGTTTTGGTTTTTTTTTTTTTGACCAAACGTCCTCTGGTTTTGCTTTTCTTCTTTTGTTACAATGTCAGTTTTTTTGTTTTGTTTTCTTTAGGTAATGTTGAGTTCTTACGACGACACAATAGAAATCCGCCATAACAGGGAAAAGTAATCAGTAACAATGAATCATTTTTACAGTGACTTTGTGCTACGAGTCGAGCCCAAAAAAAATACTAATATCATAAGGACAAACAGAACAACCAAATTCATTAAAACTATAAGAAATTATACATCGTAAAAACAAAAACAACTGGTCAAACGTCTAATTTTTTTGATTACTACATGACTCTACGGTTCCGTAGGTGTTTTGTCAGTATACGATCTATAAACACTATATATTAGAGGGTTGTTTTTTCCATTCTGTCTGTTGATGGAGAGAGTAAAGGTGCATCACGTCTGTCTGTGCTTAAGTCTGTGCTGACTGCAGTCATTTGAGACCAAACCCATGACAGGACAGTGCTGGAGAACTGTCCATCTGTCCGTCTGTCTGTCTGTCTGTCTGTCTTTTCCTCAGTCTGACTTCGTCCCTCGCTCACCCACACACACAAAGACATATACACTCAACCACACAAAGTGCTGGGTTACCATCTGTGAGTGCTGCCTCAGTTGGCCAGTAGTCAGCTGGCAGCCAGATCAGACAGTGGCCAATATGCTCCCTAATGGTCCAAGTCAGATGAATGAGATTCTCTTTTGTCTCCGTCTTTTTCTCATTTCTCTTTTTCATCTGGATCTCCCCCGTCCACTCTCCCCCTTGATTCACTCTGCCTTCCCCTTCCTTGACTAATTTAACTCCTGTCAAATTGTTTCCCTGCTCTCTCTGTCTGGATCTCTCTCATTATCCACGGCTCTGCACTCTCTCTGCCGTTGCCCTGCTGGATTTATTCTCACAGATCAAAAATGTAAATGTGACATGGTGTGGCACCCTCTCTGGTTGAACACGAGACTTCCTTTTAATAGAACAAAAACTGAATTTGTGTTCGCTGCTAGATTCTCTCTTTCTTTTTTTTTTTTTGTTGTCATTTTGTAATATTTAGAAAAATCCTCTTTAACCCTAGATTTGATTAGGCAGTAAGACGGTCTGAGTGCCGTGTCAGCACAGATGGGATGTCAGAGTAACATGCCAGAAGGGACTCACTAGTGTGTGATCACATACAGTAAAGGATGCTTGGATCACCATGTCAGGCTGAGTAAAGTCTCAGCAGTGAACTGTGGACTCTGGGGGCTGTGGTTTGCAATTTTTGTGAACTGGTGGATGAAAAAAAATGTGGGTGTCACGAATGCACAAAAGAGGGAGCGGGGAGAGGATTATGGTTGTCAGCGTGTCTGGTACGGTGATGGAGGGAGAGGAGCAGCGGCGATGGGAGGAATTAGGAGGGAGGAGGTGTTTAAGTGAATCAACGATATCGACACAAACGATTCTGCCTAGCTGTCTGATTTTTATACCTTCAAAAAACTTTCTTATATGTATATATATTTATATATATTTTCTCTTTTATACTTCTTCATTTATTTTCAGCATCACGGGTGGGACGTATTTTCATCTCGGAGAATTTCAGCGAGTACTGCCAGCCAGTCCAGGAGGACCATTCGATGCCGTCAGCATAGGAGGTGTGCTGACCGCGCAGGTACTGGCCGTTGAGGTTGGACGTGTGGCAGTTGCGGTACCACCAAGCACCGTGGTAGAAGGAGGCGCAGTTATTCTCGGAGTGGTCGTTGTCCCTGTCTTTAGTGGTGAACTTCATGCCGTTATGCTTCAGCAGAGAGTCACCTGGTGACGTGAAACACAGAGGGAAAAAAAGACAATTTTACTCAGTCAGTAAATCCAAAGATACAGAGATACATTTCTAAGGTCGTTTCCTATTCAGTTTAAGTCCAGTTATAATTCGTTTTAAGGCAGAAACGCTTTATTTTGATTGTTTAAATACAGAAATATTTGTGCAAAATACCAACGCCAATCTCAGATTCCTTGCTTCTCACTTCTGGGATTCCAGTAACACTGATGCAGCAACACAAGTATGAGATTCACAGGATAAAAAAACAGTGACGGACGATGAGACTCCGGACCTGGTCATTTGGGCGGATTTTTCTTCGTTTTTTAGATGAGACTCCGGACCTGGTCATTTGGGTGGATTTTTCTTCTTTTTCTTTTTACTTCCTGATAGCAGACAATGACATCAACTCAGGGCAAGAAACTCACACGAGTAAAGAGTGAACATCAACTACGACTGTCCTGGTACAGTGTGGCCAGCCCACAGTAGACCAGATGATGATGTTCAGAGTTTAAAAGTCTTGACTGGTAATTGGACTGTGAGTATGGACTACAATAAAAGGCACTGGTAAAATGGAGATAAAAGTATTTTAGAAAAATATTGTTAGAGTTCACCTGTAGGTCTATTCAGCTACTGCAGTCAGTCAGTCAAATTATATAAGGCTTTTTGATTAAAATTTAATTAAATTTCATTAATTAATGCATTATTGAATGACCTTCCCATCACTACTTTATTTATCAAAATTATTTTAGTTACAATCCCTAAACATTTGGAAAGAATTGTTTTGTGTAACAGTACTACAGCAATGGGTCGACCGACATTTTCAAACTGTCTAATTCTACTCTTCTTTGTTTGCTTAATATTTACAATAGTACCAGATCTGGACGGCAGACAAACACATCTAATCTAAATAGATCTAAATAGTCAAACATTAAATCATTTAATCTGTTAAAATAATTGACCTTCCAGAATGTTGGTCAGGTGACCTTTATGATTCTCACTTTACTTCCCCCCCCCAAATAATCTGTCCTGTTTTGCTGTAGTGTTTACACAACAATAACAAGAGTTCAAGTTTAACATCGAGCGTACTTTGAAGAAAACGTTCATTTCTGAGATGACATCTTGTGCTGCCAGTCTCCGACCCCAGAAATCAGTAATTAGACGGATCCACGAGTGATTAAATTCACAATGGTGTCGGACTTTTCAATTAATCACTTCCATAAAGAGTGGGGGAGGACAGATAAAAATAAAGCACCGCAGTTCTCCCACGTATTGAGTCTCATTATCTAAAGGAGGAGGTGAGACAGACGGCTTTGAAGCCAATATATCAAAGGTTTTACACTGACCTTTCGCTTTTTTTTTTAAACCCACTTCTCCATCTTCTTTTTGTCAATAAATTGTCAGAAACCACGTTAAATGACTGAAAATGAAATCCTAATCGAGTTCATAAAATGTAAAATTTTATTTTTATAGGGGTTGTTTTCATAACTACATCAAAGTCACGCTCACATTAGTCAATAAAAAGGCGTCTCTTCCTCATCCTGTAATTGTGAATATGACAGTGATGTAAGACCACTGCAGGGATGCGGCACACCCCGGTTGCATCACCCTCACTCTCTGAATCCGGTCTGCATGGAAACACTGATTTACACGATGAAATAGTGGAATAATAAAGAACTACTCACTCAGTAAAGATTTTTCACTGGAAAATTGTCTACATCAATAACTGTATTGTAAGACGCTGCTCAATTGAGCGTCAGGATGCAGTGAACGCAACGCCCGCGCACACACTGGTGTTTTTGTTCTTTTAGTAAATGACCTCATATTGCTCAGTGAACTCCTTAATCCTCCCTGTTACTCCTTTTTTCCTTTCTTCATGAAGGAGGTTTCACACCGCGGCCAACAGTCAATGGAAGGATGAAGGTGAGGAACAGAATGTGAGACAGCTCGCCGGCCGCCAGGTGCTGACTAACAGCTTGTCAGGGTATCAAAGAATCCTTAATTGCCCAGGATGTGGCCAGCCAGCTCCTTAACCTATCTCTGTCCTACACCGCTCTCCATTCGACATTGCCATGGCAACCAGTCAGGAGGCAGAATGATCTGACAGACGTGTCTGATATTAATATCGTGTGCTGCTGAACATCAGGTGGAAAAGGGACGCAGGGCGAGAAAAGTGACGGAACAGCTTAGTCATGTCAAGGATGGGGTGGTGTTCCAAGGATGTACAGGAGGGAGGTAGAGGGGGAGGAGGAGGGAGGGGTCGGGTGAAGAGGAACACCTAAAGGCTCATTTACAAAGCGCTGGGTGTCATCCATAGGAGGCCGGGGCCTCAGAGTCTCCTCTGATGCCCATTAGGCTCCAGCTGCTCCCGACCCAAATGAGCACCTGTCAGCTGATGGGAGAGCGGCTTCACTGGAGACGACTCGTAAAAACTGGTGGCAGAGGGAAACGGGGCTGAGAGCACGAGCGTCCCCGGATTTTAAATGACTAGAATTTACCTGGATTTTAATGTGAGACGTGTGGACGAGTTCCACATCCGTCCGTTTGTGCTTTTTTCATTAAACACAGATTACGTCTTTCGTCTCCTCACTGGTTTTTATTAAGTTACTCTTTCTGCTGCCTCTGTCCCCGTGACTCTTGTCTTCACAGTGACTTACCACAGCCTGGATTCTGGAGTCACACCTGTCCCCTTCATTCCTACATCCTAGTTACTGCCAGCTCTGCCTAGCTTTCTCCCCTCCTTCATATCTCATATCTGTCCCCATTCTCTCCGTGTTCTCAGAGTCGACCTCCCCAAAGGTCCTTTAAATTGCTTTTTCATTTTCAGCACCAGGTTTTTGTTTATGCTGCAGCTCAAGCGGCGCAATTAATTGGCAGTAATTTAATCAAGGAGACAGGTTGCTTGGCTTGGATCTGATGGTTTGGGAGCAGCGACACAGACAATAATAGCCTGTAATCATTTTTACAACTGTCTGCACGCTTTAACAAGTGGACACATCCACAGCACTGTAAAATAATTTACTGTTATTTTACCCCAAGGCTGCAGGAGCTACAATGCAGTTTAACACTGGTGGGCACAAATGTATGGACTAAAAATAGAAATCCATGCCGGCAAAATCGACCTGATTCACAGAGACCTGCACACAAACCTGCACTTCCAGAATAGTCTCCAATAGTCAAGGGGTAGCCATCGTCGTCGGGGTCCACTGAGAACAAGCCCACTCCAAAGGTACCGTACTGGGCGTAGGCCGTGCTGTTTTCAAAGTCCTCCAGATCGATACGCAGCTCGTAGTTCCCCTGGACAGACAGAGTGTGGATCTGCTTCAGCCCTGTGGAGGAAGAAGAAACACAGCCAGACTTAGACCAAAGCAATCCGTGGCAAAGTGCTGCCATTGTTCTGGGTAAACAATATAAAGCTCTTTCAGAAGCCTCGTCACACCTTACATTTTCTGGGAATTGGACATAATGTGGTTTTTGCCCCATTTAGAGTCTCCCCTCTCATGTGTAGGCTGTCCTTCCAAAACAAGATTAGAGTATCAGAAAGGCAGGGTGTCTGCTGCTCGGAGTTCAGTTCAGGCAACCAGGGAGATCAGCTGAATCCATTTATGTGGTGTGAGGGGAAAATATGATGGGTATATGTGGTGACATGGATTTTTACATTCTAAAAAAACTGAAGTTTGACAATTGATGGCCTTTATCCTTCAACTTTATTTCAGAGAAGAACAAATAATCCTGTAGAGACCAGGGATGGCTCGATACCACGTTTTTATGTCTGATCCCGATGCGGCAGCTCGCAGTATCTGCTGATACCGATATAATTTGATACCATATCCTTCCTGCATGCTGTGGACTGGTGTTGCTGAGGAGATGGTGTCGTCGTTTACGGCATGTCACGCAAAGTAAAGTTGAGATTTTGGGCTTAAGTATCGAATCGGATGGGTTATAGTTGTAATTCTTTTGGCCATGGGCCTTATGTTTGACCCCCTCTGGATGACATGAATTATACAATAAAAAATAAAAAATGAGGTCATCAGTAATATGTAAATACTTCAGAGTATGGTTTCAGAAGAGTTTTGTTGTGTTGCATGTTTCTACAAATATGTTCAGTCGCTAATTAGCAATTACTAATTATGTTTTGATTAACTGCTTTTGATCCAGTATTGTGTCCCTGCTAATTAAAACTGAAGAAACTCTCTTGATTGCACCTCATTTCCATTATCATCATAGCATCATTACTACGTCCTAAATTCACGCTACGCTTTAAGAGAAGACAGAGTACGGCTCTAACGACTTTCTGATTGTGTATTTCTGCTTGGAGTCATCGCTTATGATACAATTCCTTCCGCGGCTCCGGCGTTTAATGAGACACGCAGATCTTGAGGTTGAACGCTCCGAGCTTTCCGTCACTTCATCGGGGGCCCTGAGCCGATCTTTTAATCGTAGCTCAATCCTTCAGAGAAAGTGTAAAAGACAGAAAGGGCTGCAGGGAAAGGGTTTCCATCCCTTTTTCCTCCGCCCCCCCCCCTGTTCTATCTTTGCCCCTGCTGTGTAGAGTGATGGCTCTTCCCTGGGCAAGTTTTCCTCTCCTGGGTTGATCAAAGGTAAAAGAGGAACTTTGTGTCAGGTTGAGAGGAGAAAGGGAAACCTGGGTGCCTTCCACACAAACCCTAGTCAGGAAGACAAACAAAAGTGAACTCAGCCCCAAGACTCCGTTAACCCGCCGTTCTCCATGCTAACAAACGTGTTTACAGTGTTTTCTTTGGAAGAGGGGAAAAGAAAGAGCGTTTGGGAAGAATGCACTGATGGAGATGCTTCAAAGGCTTTCTGTGGTTAAAAGGAAAGTTTGGGTTTGGAGCCTGTAGGTACAGCTGCAGGCTGCAGCTGCAGGATAAAGCTTGGTTTTACCGCCTGGTAATTTGATTTTCAAACTGAACTTTCCTGTTCAGGACTGGCCACGCATGAAAGGAGTCACTGTAATTTCGAAGGACTGAAGATCCAAACCACCAAAGAAACGTTGCTTTTTGTAATTCTGAGCTTTAACAAATCCTTATTCAATTACCTTTTATTTTTCTTTATTAAATCCGACATATTCATCACAAACTCACAAATTATTCATCAGACCAATCTAACCTGTGGTTTGTGGTTTTACATTTGACACCTATTTGGTGCTTTGCATGTATTTTGGTATGGCTGTTTAGCAGTACATCCACCAGGGGGCATTACTTTTAGTTCTTTTATCAAACAGTCACAAACATTGACTGAGGTTGTGAAAATGATGGTTGCAGTTATAAAAAAATAGAATTGTCTAAAAAAACTTGGATCTGACCCTTAAGACCTTCAGGGTGAACAAAGACATAAAGACGAACGTCCAGTCTTAAAAAACTCCCACCCCTGGGGGGCACTTCAGGTCCGTAAACCCCCCACGTCCAGCCAAGATGAGACGGTAAAAATAGTGGAATTTAGATCTTGATGTCATTTCTTTTTTCTATTTAAATGATTTAGTTTGGTATCTAAATCTGTGTATTAGCTGTTGGCTCTAACCGCTCGTCAACTGCGTGGC